GTCAACACTTCGTTAAAACCATTATGTTTCGGATCGTTGAGAATCGTTGTAAGGCGTGTTGGTTGATTAATAAAAAAAACCACGAAAAGTTAATATCTATTCTGTTCCTTACTTCGAATTAGACTGGAAGCAAATTTCCGAGATAATTGATATCCGGGTGGTTCTCAAACCAAAATTTACAGACGTCTGACGAATTGATGCTATGGTCATAGGAGTTAATGTACCTACGACCTGTATCTATTAATTATTACATAACGATGACGAGGTAACAACACATCGGTTAATAACCAATTTTAGGATTATGTATTATTTTTCAATAAACAAAACACGTGCAATGCATTTTAAAATGCCTTATTCGTATTGCTAAATGAAAAGAAACAAGTGAGTCGTTTACGACGAATAAACTTCACGTATTAGGAAGTTATTAAATAAAATAGAAAAAAAATAAAGAAAATAACACACTCAATATAAGCATCTGGATGAATGAAAAATGGGAAAAATATTTCTGATGTCTAGAAAAACATAAGTTTTAAAATATTTACGTTCGTAAAGCGAGTTTCAAGCATAATCACCCCAAAGAATCCCTTATTGACATAGGACTGATGCTCAAAATCAACCTAAATATACCCTTATTGACATTTTATTAATGCTAAATATCACCCCACAGAGTTCCTTATTGACATAGGACTGATGCTAAAAATCACCCCACATATTCCCACATTGTCATAGCACTGATGCTAAAAATCACCTCACAGATTCCCTTATTGACATAGGACTGATGCTAAAAATCACCTCACAGATTCCCTTATTGACATAGGACTGATGTTAAAAATCACACCACATATTGTCTTATTGTCATAGCACTGATGCTAAAAATCATCCCACAGATTCTCTTATTGACATAGGACTGATGCTAAAATCACACCACATATTCCCTTATTGACATCCCACAAATGGCTTATTGATATAGGACTGGACCTCAGAGTTGTCCCACAAAATCTCTTTATGAGAATAAGACTGACCTTAAACTGCCGTTTAAATGACTTCAAATGTGAAGCTGGCGACACCAAATCTACTGTGTTAATATTGTTACTGAGCTTGAACCTATCCTTCGTACTTTATTATAACAACATAGCTTCGGGATCTTCTGTTGTGATACCGGAAATTGTTGTTTGGACTGAAATGTCAAAATGATGTTATCCTTTGAGGTGGTTTGAAGTACGGCCTGTTGGTTGTGGGAATGTCGATCACAGGTTCAGCCTTCAGAGGTATTGCTTATATATACACGTCAGTGCATTCGTTGGTGTTTTTTTAATTTAATTTTATGTGTCATATACATTATTTGAGAGATGGAATTCTTTCATCATTTGCATATCTTTTCGTTAAGAAGACTATTGGTAGGATATTTCGTTCACTCAGCTCAAAACACCTTTGAATTTTTAGGATCGATTGTAGGTCATGTTATCACTGGTCACAGGAAGTAGTGTTAAATACAGCATTAAGCAGGTGTTTCTTAGGTCCCTTCGGTTAATTGGTAAGAAAACAGTCCGGAATGATAAATTGTTTAAAGTATTCCTTCTATCTGGCGGATTGGTCAAGTGGTTAACACTCCGGCCTTCCACGCAGTCAGCCGGGGTTCGATATTCAGAGAAAGTGTTTTTTCTCCAGCCCACACAACTCCAAAAACTCAGGTGGAGTATACATTGGTCTGGGGTGGATGTTGCGGTATCTGTGATGTAGCATTCAAGTGAGGTGGCACTTTAAATGATGCCGTTGGAAGCACGGTCCCACTACAAACAGAGCACATTACATCTCCAGCACACACGCAGGCATTCACGCATAGGGAAATATTAGCCAGGTGGCATAGGACTAGTAGTTAGCGCCTGATAAGGCAGCTCCTGCGAATTCCTCGAAATTGTATTGATTAATGTTTATGCTAATTGTATTAATTGTATATATATGTATTGTAAAGCGCTTTGAGTGGCTTATGTTAGCTAGATAGGGCGCTATATCAAATGATGTATATTTATGTATATTTTATACAAAGTATCACTTCTATGTGAAGTCAAGTAAAATATTAAGTTTAACACGCTTCTATATATCCAAATTGACCTTAAGACATATATGGAGTTATAACACTTAAAAGTTCAGGTCCTAGTCCAGTTTTGGCTAGCTTTAGTATAGCATAGATACATGAAATATATTCATTTTGTTTAATATACATTAATTAGTTAGTTGTGTTTGTCCTCCGGGGGTATTTTTTAATCCAAGCCCATTTGTACCAAATATTTTGAAGCTGATCGAAATTTAAACTTATGGCAACAGACACGCTAAAGATAGACATGTTGGTTTTTTCAAAGTATATTCCTGAGAAAGAAAATGAATATTACAGTACGTGTATGTGCTTGTAAGGATTTGAAAAATAAATATATATTGTCATATTGTGTCACGTGCCAATGGGCCTGATACAACTAATATCTATTTTAGCTAAAATGAACTGATATAGTCATGCACTATATACCTTTATTAGTGGTATTAGTATTAGTGGTGATGCCCGTATGATAATAGTAAGTATTAGTGACGATGCCCGTATGATAAAAGTAAGTATTAGTGGTGATGCCCGTATGATAATAATGAATATAGGTGGCGATGCCCGTATGGCAATAGTAAGTATTAGTGGTGATGCCCGTATGACAATAGTAAGTATTAGTGGTGATGCCCGTATGATAATAGTAAGTATTAGTGGTGATGCCCGTATGATAATAGTAAGTATTAGTGGTGATGCCCGTATGATAATAGTAAGTATAAGTGGCGATGCCTGTATGGCAATAGTAAGTATTAGTGGTGATGTCCGTATGATAATACGGAAAACGTTTAACATTAGGTGATACTCTGTAATAGGCTCCGATCTGTATATGTGATTTAATTTGACTTCAAATAGGTTTTATCAGTAATATTCATGAATATTATGAGGACACTTCTTGGCACGTTAAAATAGTTTCGATAGAGCCATTTAAAACCCATCAGCATACGTCTGAGGATGTATTGTAAGTTATAACCAGTATAGAATGTTAATGAAACATCTTGGATTAACAAAGAAAGATATTACATACATGATATGAGTCGACGTTTTCTTCTAAGCTCGTTAAAACTCGTTTATAATGGTCTGGGGCATGTAAGGTAGATGTATTCAGACCTTATATAGATCACAAATTTAGAACATTCCTATGTACAGACTATTTTATTAAATATATTATTGAATTTTTAAAGGAGCATTCTACTTTATGATTTCTCTATACCAGTGAAATAATTGCAGATTACATTTCGTAAAGAAGGCTGACAATTCCATCGATTCATATTATTAAACCATACCTCTCCGAAAATGGTAGCATTGTTATTTGCGTTCATTTTAATAATTGGGCACAAAAGAATGGTTTGTGTACCAACTTTATATAGAAACGAGGTACAAGAAATACATCAAAATGTATTCGTATGCATACATGCTGCAATAATATTAGCTAAGATTAATTAAGTCGTATTTTAAGTCGGATGTGTTTTTCTTACGACTGTGAACAGTAAAATCACAATTATGCTGGTATCCCAGTAGTATAACCGTGTATACTACACCAACTAATAAGACAGGGAAATTAAACTGCTGTTACATATATATAGGCGTTATTATATTCGAAGATGGTTTGATTTGTTTTGGTTTTATATTGTTTAACGTCCTATAAACAGCTAAGGTCATATAAGGACGTGAATAAATAAAGAATCAAGGACAAATTGGTAATAATAACAGATCAATAATAAATGTGCTTTACAATAACGTTTATGGTAGATCAACTGATAAGAGCTATAGCTTAAGAGAAACCTACTGGATAATGATAATGAAGTTTCCTTTACGGATCACTCTGCCCAGGGGCCACCATTACATTAATACACATACTCTGGTTATATCTCAAAAGAAACTTGTCTGACATCACAGGTCCGTGAGCCTTCAGGGCAGTTAATGACCATTCATCATGGGTTTAACAATGCACCAAATCTCTTTGAACAGAATTTACTACTTATGATTCGTAACAAGTCCAGCTCTTTTCATGAGCTATCCACTGGGAAACTATTTCAAAACGATTCAAACGTGTCTTGTTTTCATACGGATTAGCCTTGATCAAAAGAGTTCAATAGACAGTTTGAAAACTCGCAAATGTTAGGTGATAAATTCGGAGGACAAACCGACGCCATCTTGTTTGTTTACATCCGGTTCCAAGGCGCTGAAGTTGAATTGTGTCACATAAACATATTTTATCTACATATTGATGCCTGAAATCTATATCTGTTTTTGGCGAATATTCGTTTGCTACTCGGGCAAGTTTCAGGTTACAGGTTTAATATTTGAGGAAAATATTACTTATGGACCTCTGCCTAACATAAATAAACAATATTACCTTTTCTAAATATATAAATATCCCGATCGGTCCTTTAATTATACACCTTCTAAGACATTTATTCTCACGTTCATTCTTTGAACAAATTTACTGAAGTCTGAAATTGCTATCGGCATCGTAAGACTTAGATTTTGAGATGTCAAGATAAAAAGGGATAGATTCAAAGGAACATGTGTAACCATAAAAGTGTTTTTCTTAATATTTACATTTGAAGCCAGGAAATATGCTACCAATTATATCGCGTTTCTTCTCGTTCCATGTTATGACAGTCATGTTTGAGATAGAGTATGGTCGGTTTATGACCCAAGTGTGCCGAATAACGATATGGTTTATACTTACCCCACTATAATATGTTCCTTTTAACTAGAAGCCATTACCTCTTGACATTCCATTGATGCAAACAAAGGTTTGGAGACGAGAGGTCGTACTTAAACAAAAGAAGCATTGTTCTAAATTAAGTGCTAGGGTTAAACCCAGAATTGTTATACTAAGCTTAATATCGTAATCCAATTAAAACTTGTAAACTTTCATCTAGACCAAAGTATATGGTCCATAATGTCTAACGGCTGGTTCAAGATTCACGAACTTTCCAAGGAATTCCTTAACATTTTCCACAGGAAAGCATCATTGAAGCTAAGGAAATTCCCTTCATGTAAGAGTTTTTCTTTGTTCTTATAATGCTGTGGGAAACTCCTTGGTTCAGGAAGGTTGGTGAACATTGGGACCAAATAAATTGCCTGATTTAAACTGCGTTCAGATTGTCGTGCTATTTATCGATACTTTTAATGGAGACATTACCCCAAGCAACCCCATGTAATCACACTTCGGCCAACTTGGTGCAAGGGTGAGCGCGCTGGCCATTGACCAACACGATCTAAAAAGAAAAGTAATGCTGTAACTAAAAACACATAAAGTCGTATTTCCTTTTTTTCTAACGTGTGTTTGGAAATAACGACTTCATTGTAACTTCGTTAAACAGGACGCCATAAGTAACATAATGAAAAACAATTCTGTTCCTGTAACCATAAACTTGATCACCTAACATAGTAACATATCTCTCAACTAGATTTTTTCTTTAATACCTTCAAGCAAATCATAGGAGGGAGCAGAAAGAAATACAGTAATGTAGTCTTTTTTAAAGTGAATTTATTATTCCAATATCGGTTTTAGAAAACGCAAGTCTTCAAGCTATGGGACTAACGAGGTTAATCTGTGTGTTTCGCCATAACAACATTACATAAGTACCGTTACATTCTCCTTACATGATTATAGTGATAACATTCAATCCTAGTTTCTCCTCATGTTGCAGGGCCAATATTATGCTACCACTGTGTAGGAGTAGAGAACAACAGCACGTGTTCTGACCCTTTCGACGAGAAGACGAACACTGCTGCAACAAAAGAAGAGTGCATCCACGGCGTGTGCGTAAAATGGACACGCTACATCAACGGTAAAACATCCATTCAATTTGTCAGTTTTTCCCTTATCATTGCAATAAGTTTTCCGACAGTCTAGTGTAGACTTTTACCGGTACCAAGAGCGTGTAAGGCATTTCAAACTCTTTGCACATCCCTTTCCGACATCGTTTTTTGTAAAAAGGCAGTTTGCCCCTCCTCACTCCTGGTCGACTTATCTTTGATTTCATATAGGATGAAATTATTTAATGTATTAGGACTGTAAAAGAAAACCTTACAAAGTCTTTCAATTTCAACTTAAGTTATATCGATGATGTGTTGTTTTCAAATTGCACGAAGTATATTGACTACATTGAACTCCAATGAGGCTACATTCCCTTCCGCAATAGCCGTTTCTTCAATCTTTACTAACAACATGAACATCAGGGACAGTTTTTTTACTGAGCTGTACGAAAAGCGTGATGACTCCATTTTCCGATCGTGAATTTTTCCTTTTTTGAGAGTAACACCCAGCTTACTTCCCCTTTTACAATATTTGCGTCTGTAGTTGATCGGTATTCAAAGGCACACTCCACCTATTACTATTTACGAAATAGTTGTCGATGTCTTGTCCACGTTCACGTCCTGGTACTGTCCTCTTGTTTTTTTGAAGAAAATGTTTTGCCAGCTTTCTTTGGAAAGCCGAATTCTTTCTGTGAAAGGTTGTTTGTCGAATTTCTGTCGAAAGTAGTTACACTCTTTCTGTATAATTAATAAAAAACAACATTTGAAATTTGACACGACCTGTGATAAAGTTGATGATGCATTTGAACCAAGCTTTTTGCCTGTCATACTAAGCATCGTTAGCTTAATTATTATAAAGTAGAATTTGAATCTATGTCGGTCTTTATAATTATCAATACGTATCCTTATATTCGAAAGTATCTCCATAAAATAAACAAACAGACACAATATTTTAAAAACTAATTTGGTATTGGATTGGGAGAACAACTGTTAACTTGAAAATTCAATAGAAGTTTCAATAAGCTGATTCAGAATGCGATGACGTAACTGACTTGGAAAACATATCTTTTGTTTAATCAAATTATCCTCTTCCTCTCATTTAACAAGATAAAACTTTTGATATGAAACCATATAATTTTCACGGATTAACTCCAACTCCGTAATAAAAACAAAGTTTACTGCACGGATGCCTGCTCGGAATGTTTATATGAAGCGCGGTCGAAAATAGATCCGAGCTTGTTGTTGTTACGACTGTTAATATATATGTCACTCTTCATTATATAACTTCCTATTGTTGTTCAACAAAAACTTTAGTTGAGCACATGGATGGCAGTGAATTGACATATGCATGGATACGAATTTCACATTTCTTTCATATATATATTAGACACAGTACAATTGCAACAGGTGGTTCATATCTTAAATCTTTAGATCAATATACACTGATGAATATGATATATTTTATTATTTTATTATATAAACGGAATGTAGCATAGAAACACAAATCACAAATGAGGTCATTGTTTGTACTCGTGCCCTTTCCGGTTCTCGAACTCATGATCTCAATCACAGAATTGCATGGCAGAGAAAATATGCAACTCTGATCCTTAAATCATCGCGGCCCCAATGTATAGCTTAAAAATGTATACCAATGCTTGTTATGCAATTAAACTCATAATTATGGAATCGGCATATAAGGTCGTGGGTGTTTTACTATTATCCTGAGATTTTAAGGGAAATGGAATGCTAAAGGATGTAACGACACCATCAACACTAACTCCTATGATCCCCTGAATGTCGAATAAACCAAAATATCTCAGATTATTCATTGATTAATAAAATAGATTGATTTTGAATCGGTGACCAGAGTATCTCATTTGTTAGCTGGATATTTAAAATGTGTCTTTTATTCCTTTTGCAGGCATTCGGATGATGGAGAGGACATGTTCCGCTCGAATGGATTTGAACATTATGAAGATTGACGGAGTGTGTCGGACAGAGAGTGATGGTAACGGATACCTGTGTATGTGCGGGAAACACCTGTGTAATGGTACCCCATCACTCAACCTCTCACTCCTCTCAGCAGCGCTGTGTGCGCTCGTATCATTTCACCAATGGTTACCATGGTTCCGATGACGTCGCTCCGTCAGAAAAAAACCAGCCACTGTAACAGAACGATTGTGATAGTGTTTATTGCCTGACTGGTGTTATTCCATGATGTTCTCAGACGATACCAGGCTAGATGTGAAGAATAAGTGACTAATTAGTATACACCTTCTGTCTTCAGGAGTTGCCTCCCTTGTCCAGACCCAATCAAAATATACTAGGGATTCTTTTAAGTTTTGTGAGTATACACAAATTGGTTTGACGTCTTCCTGAGTTGTCTTCCTTGTCCAAACGGCCATCAAACAATGAGAAAATAGAATATATTAACATTGTAACAATGACGTTGTAAATATAGTTATAACCTATTCGTGAATATGGTGATTAGCATGATATTCCATTGTTAAAGCAAGTTGAAATATATTGAACTGCATACAGCTGTTTAAAGTGAACGTATTGCGATGTGGAAATGCTCGCGTTTTTCGCGTTGCGTCAATTAGCGTGAACATAGCCATACACACTACTTATATAGAGTATATAACAGATTTAAAAAACACGATCAGTCGTAAGAGTTACATTGTGAACATACACTTTCCAGATTTTTTCTAACTACAAACGGGTTTATGCTTACCACGAAGTGCCTTACCTTTAACCTGATATGCATTGTAAAAGGAAGAGAGTATGAATTGTATGAATTGTATAGGCTGTATATAGATTGTATAACCTAATCAACAGAACTCACTCACGCTCCGTATGGACACGATAGCATAGGTTACACAACTAATCCATGCTAAGTGTTGATAACTTTGTAATACTTGGTATGGATTGTGTAGGCTAAGCATCATGTCACATAACCATCCACTTATCTTCCAGAAACCATAGTGCATGAAAAGCATTTACACGTAAAATAGGATTTTATTTTTAAATTCAAATTAGCCCCGTCCCTTTTTAAATCTATCAAAACAACATAAATAATGTACACATATACAACACGTAACATCACTGTATAGCAGTGTCTTTAGAGAGGCTTATTTTACGTATGAGTTATTCAAATCCAGTCACGTGAACATTTATACTCTACCAAAATCTCACCACTTGGGAAAATCCGTTATTACTTTTTTTCTGATGGATACGTACCCATTGCTTTTCATTTACAAATTCTTTGTCCCATAAAAGCGAACACAGTGACTGAGCGTATCAGGAACATTGATATAGAACTATATTTTAACAGATTGACATGATATGTTTGCTAGTGATTTGTAATCACCATACACTGTGTTAATAATTCTATGTCGGCCTTTTTGCACAATTGAGTGCGATTGTGTTTTTAAGTTGTTGTTACAGCTTTACATGATAAGTTGTATAAGTTTAAGATTAAAACAATAGATCTTAGACGTTATTACATTTTTGACCTGTTTCCAAGCTCGGTCATGCTCTCCACAGATCGCAAAAGAAAACATTTTACAGTTCCGTCCCATACACTGCGAGTTTGAAAAGAAAATATATTAAAATTGTTGTTGACGTATTACGTATTAATGATCTATATACACTGAACATGCTTTAAACAGCACAACATTATAATTGAGTTTAGATAATACTGAATAGTATTTGTATGGATGGATTCTAATGAAAATGTAAAAAAAAAAAAAAATACGGAGAAGAAAAACCCTATCGATAACATATGAATGGTATTTAGTGTGTTTATGTGACTGGAGTGATAAATCGGGTACTTAGTGATAACTTGCCTTGTTGAAACCTTGTCATTCTGTAATTATGTATTTCTGTTAATGCATATATGTGTAAAACCAGTCCCAACTTGTATTTTAGATGGGGATAATGAAAGTCATTTGTATATATCTACATTTCGTTGACTTGCAGCCTCGCCGTAGATTGGTCGTTGTATGTACGAGATACCACGAAGGTCTTTTATGTGTTGTTTTGTTTGCGAAGCTGATTGATTACAAAGTATCTAAAAGCAAATTTTTATTCGTAAATTTTCGAATATTGAACCATAAAGTAGCAGAGTATTTCTTAATCCGTAGCAATGTGATTCTTGCAGCTAAATCGTGATATAGATAATGCTCCCATTATCTCATTATAATTGTTTACAATGGCCGTAAAACACGCATGTCCATGTAGCCAACAAGCTCCCGATATATTCTTTTGATATTTGCTGAAATGTTATCCTCTGCTACAGAGTTCAAACGTACCGAATTAAAAAGAAAATACCTATATTTAATGGAGTCGAACCGAATTGACTTGATTGAGGCAAATGTTCGTGACATTGTTTGTTAGTAATAATTAAATGCCTGTTAATTCTGTAAGGTTGTGTCTGGACTCTGTAAGTCGTGGCCTGGTCGAGGCTCATTGCATACCAAGCTTAGGTTTAATCGAAGGGGGGAAAAATGGAACTTAATTGTGAAATGGTTTCAACATAAAGGCCACTTTTAATGTTAACATTGCTGCATTTAATGAGAAAGGTCACGCGGTGATACTTTCTTGTTTTGTCAACACGCATGGACGTAGCTAGACCCAAAGATAGGTGTAAGCCCAGGCAATGAGTCTGGGGACCACCTAGAATCTGAAGGGGCAACAGAAAATGATTATAATGACTCATGAAGCATGGGAATTGATTTCCGAAAGGATTATTTAAAGATATATTCTAACGTAACGTCAGTATCACTTTTTCACCTTTTTTTTCAGTTGATAGCTATAGGTAGGTATTTTTTCAGATTAAGCAGATTTCTTAATAAAAAACGTTAACTTTCAGCGATGTTTCAGTCCATTTCTTCATCAAAATTAAAAAAAGCTATCACCTTCGACAAATAGTTGCAAATACATATTGATATAGTCCGGAATTCAAGTATATTTCTGATTTTCACCTATTTATCACAAAAATGTATTATTATATTGCAGTTATAGTCTAGTTATAAAGAATCAATTAAAAAGAGCGCGCTGAGATCTTTAGCGGAACACGTTCAAATGTATGATATACTTTCCGAATGCGTTGTTTTCTAAAACACGTTATTTATGATTTTTTCTTCTTTCTAATATGACGTAGAATTTGTACAACCCAACTCTCCGTCAGAAAATGAAAATAGGTTGTGCTAGTTATTTAGGAAAAAGATAGACTGTATATTCTATCCCAGAGAAAGCATTATGGCTAAAAGTTCAAGAGAGACCATTTGTGATAGCATTTCTTTACTATTTTGACGTTGGAAGTATTAACTGCTTTCTTCATTTCGTAAATTGATGTTTGTAATTTACCAGACCACAACATAGCACCAGAAAAACTGGATTGGAAGTAATAGACGAACATGGATTCCGGGAAGGATGTTATAGTATTATTCTTATTTAGTTAATGATTAAATACAATTATGTTATTATCTTGATTACATGATGTCATCTTTTGTTATTGTTAAATTGTCAATGTTTAGACATTTGGTATACACAGATTTTTTCATGTGTAAGCCCGGGCTTTTTTCTATGGACGTAACGCCCCTGACACGTGAATGGTTCCTTTATTAAAATTGATTTATTGACTCAGTCAAAATTTACAATAAATCGTCTAGCATGAGGGAAAAACCCAAAGAACATAAAACTGTGACAAGTTATGTGTTCAACATATAACGGTAGCCATATTGAAAACTGACATACTTGATATTCAGTTGTCTTCCACTAGTTTTATGAAGATGCCCGAGACAAATAACTTGATGCGACTATAGTGTCCGGATTACGAGACTAAAAAGCCCGTATTACCAGAATATAGTGCCTGCACTACGAGAGTATAGTCCCCTCAATAGAAGGAGATCATGACGTTAGTGCATAGGCTACCAAAGGTTACTAATACCGACAGTAGCAATGTTGTTGATGTTGACTCAGAGCGTCGACGTTACAAAATTAGTAGTGAAAGTGCCAGTCACTCTTAATTCAGAATATCCAGTCAGCATCCGAGATGTTGTCTTCTGATTATTAAAACAGGTAAGAGTGATATTTAACTGTGTTTTTGGTGATGTATTTGTCTTCACATATTGTTATACACACTGTAAGGCCTATGGTAACCGACCAGGTGGATATTTGTTTGACTGTTGTTATATACGTTTGTTGGTGATCTGTTGGTAATCTGCCTAAGGTCACTACCCAAGGTGACCGACCACGTGTATTTTTCTGATTGACTCCACACAAGTTTGTTTAATAAAATGATTTGAAACAAATAAGAACTTATTATTTGTTCTCATAAAAATCGTAGCCTTGACTGATTAACTTATGTGAAATATTCTCATATATAAACTAATAAGAAAAGGAGCAAACAACAAATTAGAAAAGAACACTGCAGCTAAAAGGAGACAAATAAAACACAACGATCTTTCTATTGATTGAGTAGATCAACCTAGGTATCTCCACTAGGAACGGCATATGACTTTTGTCTCTTAGCCGAGTACGTTCGACTGACTGTGACCTGCAGGTTACGTAGCTTACCAAACGCTGGTACGCCGGTGAATGCACTAAATTTTCAAACACAAAAAGACACTGCTTGTTGCGCCCCCTTGTTCCCGTATTAAGTCCCTTGCCTGGATCCGTAAATGAATCTTCTCCGAAGAAGGGCTAGCTACGCCCTAACAAGGTACAATAAATCTCTTCTCTGGGCTTAGACTTGTTTGAGGTTTTACATCCTCGCAATGGCTATTGTCATATAAAGACGGCGCCCATGGAAATTCGGACATTCAATGTATTGTCTCACTGAAATGTCAGAACCTGGGCACGGTCACAAGACTCGCCACTCGGCCACATTATACTAACTGGCAAACCATAACATCGTTCAGTGTCCCAAGTCAGGGGACAGAACCTATAACTTTCTTCGTTTGGGCAACTGCTCAAGAGCGAGGTAATGCCAAGCAAGGCGTTCGGAAACGTGATTGGGTAGAAAGAAGAGAAACTATTTAGACCCCAAATGTTGCTATGGGTATGACAGATTTTTCAAAGGGCACAAAAGCAAATCCCCAGTTGTCCATGGTTATGGATGTGAACATGCA